GACTTTGATCGTGATTACACGCGTAAGGCTTTTATATATATTATATATATTTCTTTTAGTATAGAGTGATTGAAACTGTGTGATGATCAGCGTTTGAAGCATATATATAAATATATATTGGTGTAATTGCAAGAAGAAGAAGAAAAAAAGCGATTTGATTCAACTTCGCTTTTGTGTTTTGAATGCAATCGCAATTGTTTAGAAATAATTAAGATCGTATTTGCATACTATAGATGTATTTTACTCGAGGAAGTTATAAAGGTGTTATATTGTACCATGTGATTAAATACTTATTTAGTTGAATACCAATTATTGAAGAAAAACAAAACTGTGTTACTTATATCATCGTAGAATATATGTATATATATAGCAGTGCTACATGTCATTATATCAAGATCCAAGTAATACAAAATCAGTAAAAAAAATGCGATTAGTGTTATAAGTCATGACCGGCCGAAGCGGATTGAGTCCTCATCTAGTGTAATTACAAGCATATACTGTATTTAGTGTTTTATATGTTTATTATTTAGTCTGGATTTTACCTTAAAGTTCACTTCCAAAAAGAAATGAGTGACAGATGCACTAGTTTCAATTTTTTTGAACTTTAGAGCTTTCTTATAAAAGCTTTGAAATTTGCAATCGTATCAAAGTTTAGTGCAATAATAATTTATCAAAGTCACTGCAATTTCTAGATCTCTGAAACAAATTAAAACTTCGATAAAAGAATAATTAAATAATTCGCTTTTCATTAATTTACTTTTGTTTTTCTCGACATCTTCCTCGAATATTAACGCCCCTGAAACGTGAAATCATATGCTTCATACAAAAAAACGTAAAAAGTAAAAAAAACATACTAAAACGATACCGTATCAGTTCAAAGCGGCACAGTAAAACGGTGACGTATCAGTTCAAAGCGCCACAGTAAAACGGCGACGTATCAGTTCGAAGCGCCACAGTAAAACGGTGTTATCTATAACAAAACACCATCATCACTCACATTTCACAAACACACAACTATATAAAAGCTATACATACACAAGCAATCACAAATCAAACTCCCCCAAAACAAAAAAAAAAACTCATTCACTATACAAAGTGAATCAAAAGATTGAAACTTTAAGTTTCTTATTGTTTGAAAATCAAGAAACAGAGTGTCGTCTTCGTTTTTGAAACAAGAAACGACTCTCAGAACTTGTCTTGGTGCTCAAGGAAGGTTTAAGACTATTGAAACTGAAAAGAGAATTGAGTTTGCTTATCTTTTTAGCAAACGACTTGAAAAGCTTAGTCCCTGGATTAGATTTCACAAGTTCTTGTTTAATCGAGATGTGATCTTTCTCTAGATCAGTTAATCTCATCCTCATCCTCGCAACTTCAAGCTTCAGCTCTCTGTTTTCTCTCCTCACTGACGCATAGTTATCTCTTGGCGATATCGCTCCACTTCCTTGTGAACCAAAGAAAAAAGGTCTTTAGATTTTGGTTTCTAGGGTTTCTATAAAACAGTTTGATACATAATCAATAGGGGGTAAAAAGGTAAATTACCTGCTCCGCTTCCCGACCGTTGAGGAAACTGGTGACAGTTACTGTTGAATAGAAACTGACTAGGACCAATGCTACTGCTCATTGCGTTTCTGAGTCTGATCTGCTCAAAGTACAACACTTGTACCGCCATTTGTACTGGTAATCTCTCGTTTTGCGCGGCGTGGCTACAAGCTTCTTGCGATAGTTTCTGCGAATCTATCGTCTTTGTAAGACGATAACGCTCTGAATCCTTTATATTTGGATGAACCTGTCACAAAACAGAAGAAATTAACATGAATTTTTGACAATTTCATAATGAGAAAAAGATTGATGATTTTGTTTACTTTGAGGTAAATGTCAACGGCTCGATAGAGTCCATCACTGATGATACGAGCATGATCTGGTAAGAGTTCTGCTAAAGCTATGAACTTTGAGGTTGTGAGATTCGGATCCAAAGCTATCTCTGCTAGATAATTATCCATTAGCTTCGATACTTTCAAGATGGAGCTCTGTTTTGGTGACCCCGGACTGTCGAAATCGTAAATCATCTCTGTTTCGTCTCTAAACTGTCGATGATGATG